TTTTTCTTTTCTTTTTTTTGCGCCTGCCACGGCCGAGCTGTGTGGGCCAAGTCTCTCCAAGGAAGCTACCGTCTTCCCCCGAACACAGCGCACCCTCATCTCGGCTGTACTGGACTGGAAATATAGCCTGTATACGTTCAATTTCAGGGTGCGTTATGTTCGGGGGAAGACGGTAGTGTCCCAGGCGGCATTTTCAGCTGGTGTGGGAGTGGTCCGATTTCAGTTGTAGCGACTCTTTTTTTGGCGGCGCTACGAAATCGTTCTGACAGTTTTTTCTTTTTTTCTTTTTTTCTTGTTGTTGAAGTTCTTTTTTTTTTTGTTTGTGACGCTCGYTTGTATCATGCCATGTTCTMGAATTCAGTTACCTAAGGCCAGGTCCCACTCGCAAAGAGGATTGGATTGAATGCCTGCATCTGGACGTCTTTGTAGGAAAGGTGCAGAAAATCAAGATTGAACACGTCCATTTGCTAGTCGGACCTCGCCCCCAATCCACCAGTGTAGGGCCTGGATCCACCTGTTACCACATGCACAGGGGCGTGGTCCCACTAGCAAAGAGGATAGGAGCGAATGCCTGAATCTGGACGTAATTGTGGAGAGGTGCAGGAAATCAAGATTGAACTGCTTTTCTGCACCTCTCCATAAAACACATGCAAATTCAGGAGCTTGATCCTATCCTCTTTGCTAGTGGGACTCGGCCCAGGGGACCAAAAAAATGTAGTGAAAAAAAAAATTAAAAAAAAAGTGGAACAGTCAGAGGTGGCAGCATCTTCAACCGTAGATCGTCCATCCTCCAGCGGCTAGATAGCACGAATGAAGTCTTCGGAGTTGGCCGTTGTTGAAAATTTTTTTTTTTTTTTTTTTTTTCCTGCAAACTTTCACGTGCTGAGAGCAGGGAACCTCGCACAACAACTATCCTGTCGTCAAATCTGGGAATCTACAGCGTGATATGCATCCTTCACGCTGTCACAACTCTTAGGTAAGAACGGCCGGAGCTGTATCTAGATAGATTTGTTTTGCAACTTTTTTTGTTTTTGTTTTTTTTGCAACTTCGTGTATCTTGCCATGCCCCAACGGCCGATTCATTCAGCAAATGCAACTGTGTAGGTCCTGTCTCCACGCGCCGGCCACCACAGGGGTCCAAAGGGAAAAACAAAGTTTCTTCCCTAACGGCCTCTTCACTACTGACACCACAGTAGGCGACCTCCCCCCGCTTTTGCCAATTATAGAACGGGTAGGCCGTCGAACGCACAGTTTCGAACTGGTCTTCGCCTAAGCTTGCAGTGGACTGTTATTCCTGCAAATTTGAAACTGTGCCGCAGTCACCCGTGCAGTTATTAAAAAAAAAAACGAAAAAAGCAGCTTTCAAACCCTGCGCAAGTAAGTGAGTGTGTGTGTGTGTGTGTGTGTGTGTGTGTGTGTGTGTGTGTGTGTGTGTGTGTGAGTGGGGGGGGGAGGGGTCCCCCACCAATCAATCAATCAATCAATCAATCAATCAATCACTCAAAAGCAAGTAAATGAGGGCCGTCGAACGCACAGTTTCGAACTGGTCTTCG